CTGTAAGGCACAGATTTCATGAATACCAAGAATTTTTATGGAATCTTGTCAGATCTACTACAAGCAGAAAAGAACAAAATAAAAGAAAGAGACAACGAAAACAAATTGAGTAAAAAAAATACTGTGAAATATATCTGACAAAACACATCAAATCTTGAGCATTTGCTTCATACCTTCTATTCAGCCTAAAATCATGACTGATTTTCTAATATCCAGCAGTAGTATTTCACATTATTATTTGAAATTACCACTGAATTGATGCATAAGACAAAGACTACTGGTAATTATTCACCCACTAATAACTATACACATATATAATTGTAATATGATAGAATTTGGTATCAATGGATTCCTTGCGCACTCTAGTATACATATATGTAGGAATTATACTGCATAATCCCTTCAAACCCCCACATTCTTGGCTCTGTTAGCAGGGGAGGGTACGAAAGGTACCAGGGAATTTGCAGGGTAAAATATGAATACTTTATAAAAAATCAGTAATGTTACCTCCCACCTCCCCCTGTGGCTTGACCTCCCACCAGAGACTCAGCATTAGGTGCTCTCGCATGTTGGTCATACACTCTCTAGTTCCATGAATAGATGGAGGATTTTGTCTTACATTATGGGGGTTGGGAGGCAGCAGCTACCCAGCGGGGTTGCAGGGGGCACATCCCCCTGTATCAGATAATATAGTGACTGATTCTGAGTATATTTTTCTTACAATACCCAGCAAAGTTCTACCATGCTAAGCGGTATATCTTAGCAAAACCGTACTTGCCAACAGTCTATGAGCGGATGAGCAGCTTGGTTGGGCTTTGAGAACCCAGGGTGTGGAGGAAATGCCCCCCTTAATTCTTCTCACTTGATCATCACCGGTTATTGTCTGTCCTCAATAAGTGTATGAGTGCTCATGTCATAAGGGCTCTAGGTATCCCTGCTGCCATAGCAAAGACGGATGAGTAGTCTAGCTACCAACGGCATCCTTGAGGTGGACCCTCTGAATTGTAGCCATAGTTGTGTGCCCAACATTCCTGAATTCAGCCATCTCCCTATTGTAGGAAGGCACATCCCTGCAGTTCTTGTTTTCCTTCCTTTTTCACATTTTTTTCTTACTTTTTCCTTTTCTTATCACAATCATGAATGTCGATATAGCCATGGCCCCCAGTCCCCAGCAGGCCTTCAGTGGTCAGGGGGTGCTAAGAATCTCTGGGTTTTGTGTAATTGAGTTCTTTCTCAAATTTATGTTTTTGTTATTTTTATGTGGAATTGTTGTTTTGTTGTCTGGTGATGTTGAGCTGAATCCTGGTCCTTGCCGTCCAAAGTATTGTAATTTACTTTTTAGTAATATTCGTGGCCTTTATGGGAATTTGAAAGAACTTGCAGTTATCTCGGCAAAATTTGACATTATTTGTTGTGCTGAAACTCTGGTTTGAGACATGAGGCACAGGTCAGAGTTACTTTTACCCAATTTTAATAAACCTTTGTTGCTACGTAGGAATTCCATGCCTTGAGCCCAAGGTTTGTGTTTATATTCTAGAGTTGGTTTTAATGCTAGTCGTTTTACAAAGTATGAATGTGGTTGTCACGAATACATGGTTGTGAGAGTGTGTAGTCGTTTTAATAATTTTTACATTTTTAGTCTTTATAGAAGTCCCAACTCTGATGACAGTATTTATGATTGTTTGCTGACTTCGTACATTTCTATTCAAGAGAATAATATTAAATCTTGTTTTATATCTATAGGTGATTTTAATGCTCACCATCGAAACTGGCTTAATTCTGTGTCCCCAACTGACCGACATGGCATTTCTGCATTAGATTTTGCAGATGTGGTTGGGTGTGAGCAGTTAGTCCGTAGTGCAACTCACAGGAGTGGCAATCTTTTGGATCTTTTGCTAACTGATGTGAGAGGGGTAGTTGATGTAGACTCCATCGCGCCAATAGGTTCTTCTTTCCAACCACTGTAGTCTAGCATGTAAGATCCAGCTGGACTTCCCTATGCCAGATTTTACGCTAACTAGACAAGTCTTCTTAAAATCTAGAATTAACTGGAATGGTATCTACCATGCTTTTAATAGCATTACTTGGCGAAATGTTTACAATGATCCTTGTCCTGTTAAAGCTTTTAATTTGTTATTGTTGGACATCATAATGAAGTTTGTACCCAGCAAAACTCTGAAATCTCGTTCACATGATAAAGCATGGTTTAATGAACGGTGTCACCAGGCTTATAGGGACAAACATGCTGCTTAAAATTTCTGGTCTGCTAACCGTACTCGTCTTTGTTGGGAGAATTATGTTGCCATGCAAAATACAGCAACTAATGTTTATAAGGAGGCTAAATCTGAATATAATGCTCCTTGAAAGAAGTTCTCTCACAAGCCTCACAGCCGCATAAATGGTGGTCAACACTAAAAACATCTCTGTTTGGTCTTGAGTCTTCCATTCCTCCTTTAATGAAACCTGATGGTAGTGTTACGAATAGTCCGTTTGAGAAAGCTACCTTGTTAGCAGATTGTTTTATTTCAAAACAAAGTTTAGAAGATATTGAACTTCCTCCTTCATGTCACCGTCTTGCCAGCTTTAATTCATTTGACTTCAGGTGCTCTGAAATCAAGTATCTGTTATCTGAACTAGATGGAATATGGTGGAACGTAGCCCTAATCGGCTTGTTTCCTTTGATTTTAAAAAGACTAAATGGCCCATTAGCTCCTAAAATTAGCCATAATCTTAAGCCTTTTTAGTTTGTAAAAGGGTCATTTCCAGATTGCTGGCGCTTTGGTAAATGTTACCGCCTATTCCCAAGGGCCCACACAGTCCTTTCACCTACTGAATATAGGCCCATTTCAATTACAACCAATTTTTCCAAAGGTTTTTGAAAACGTTTGCCTGGTCAAACGTCTTTTTGTACATTTGAGACCGTTTCTTCCAGAGACTCAGTTTGGTTTTTGAAAGGGACTCGGCTGCAATGATGCACTGCTTATGTTGGTGCATGAAATGCAGTCTGCTTTAGATAAGGGTCATGAGTCAAGACTTGTCTCGCTGGATTTTAGTGCAGCTTTTGACACTGTTAATCAAAAGGTTTTAATTTTTAAGTTACAGTCTTTTGGTGTAGGTGGTAAAGTTTTTAGTATTTTAACTGAATTTTTAACTGGTAGGCAGCAGCGTGTTCATGTTGATGGTAGTTTTAGCTCGTATTCTCATGTATCTTCTGGGGTTCCTCAGGGTAGTGTTCTTGGCCCTTTGCTCTTTATCTTGTTTACAAGCGATATGTGGTCTGGCATTACTAATAAAATGTTGGCATATGCTGATGATACTTCTCTCTATGCTGATATTCCTTCTCCGGCAACTAGGCAAATAGTAGCTGACAGTCTCACTGTAGACCTGATGATGATTCAATCGTGGTGCTCTCGGTGGGGCATAAAATTAAATCCTACTAAGTCTAAAGAAATGATTGTGAGTCGGTCTCGAACGCAGTTGCCTCAGCATCCAAGTCTGCTGATTAATGGAGTCTTAATCACTTCGGTGGATAACTTGAAGTTCTTAGGTGTAATCTTTGATTCAAAGCTTATATTTGAATTGCATATTAGGAATATGGCCCAGGCAATTTCATCAAAGTTAGGCATCATTCGCAAGTGCAATAAAATCTATGAATATGACAACATTACACGTAGGTGCTTCTTTTCTTTTATTCTGCCTCATTTTGAGTATTGTTCTGTGTGGTTATCTGCTGCAGACTCACACTTAAGACTGCTTGATCGTTCTTTTAATTCCATTAAATTTCTCCTGTCTGACTTAAATTTGGACATTGGACATCGTAGAGTTATTGGGCTCTTTCAGTTTATGCAAGATTGTAACCGATAAATTCACATCCCTCTCTATAAGTTTTTTACCTGTTTTTTATCAACCTGCAAGAATTACCAGAAGTTCTATGACCCTCAATTCAATGACATTTGATGTAAGTTGATCGTCTACAAGTCAGTTCTCTAGATGCTTTTTTACTGCTATTTGTAGACTTTGGAATAGATTGCCTTCAGAGATTGTAACTTCTTCGACTCTTGATAAATTTAAAACGTCAGCTAACATGTTTTTCTTAGGTAATTAGCTGACTTTCTTTTATTCATTCTTAGCTGTATCTTAGCTTTGGTGGCATAAATCTGGATTTTTTTCAGTCTGGCTCATTATATGCTTAATATAATAATAATAATAATAATAATAATAATAATAATAATAAATAATAATAATAAAATAGTCCATGGTACTTTCAAGCTCTGCCTGCTATACGGGCCCAAATCATAACTAATGGGGGTGGGGGGGGGGTGGGGCATTAATTTCAATATATTTGGATAGTTGAGTGAAAGGAATCTATCAATACCAAAATCATTGTCATCGGTTATGAAAAAGGTATTCTGTAAAATTACCAAATATGTAAATAAATATGAACTATTCAAATTTACCATTGAACTCACTCACTCACTCACTCTCTATCCACACACACAACACACACACGCACACACACACACACACCACACACACACACACACACACACACACACACACACACACACTCTCTCTCTCTCTCTCTCTCTCTTCTCTCTCTCTCTCTCTCTCTCTCTCTTCTCTCTCTCTCTCTCTCTCTCTCTCTCTCTCTCTCTCTCTCTCTCTCTCTCTCTCTCTCTCTAAAAAAAAAAAAAAAAAAAAAAATATATTATAATATTATTATATATTATATATATAATATATATATATATATATATATAATAAATAAATAAAATAAATAAATACAATATTGTTCATAAAACTAACATGGAAATGGAATTGGGGAAAAAAGTACCATGTAGCAAATATTATCAGAATTACCTTTTGGGTAATTTTACAGAATAATTCCAACTAACAGATTGCAAAGACTTAGGTACTAATAGTTTATTCTCATTCTCTACAATCCAAATATAAAGACACTATTGCACGAAAACATCCCAAACCCCCACATTCTTAGCCCCAATTGCAGGGAAGAAGGTACCAGGGAAATTATGGGGTAAAATATAAATAATATGGTAATTTTTTTGAATACGTCCACATAACAGATCACAAAGATTTTGGTATCGTTGGATTCCTCTCACCGTCTCCAATGCAAGTATGTAGGTTTTATTACATGGAAGCCCTCCTAAGCCCCACATTCTTGGCCCTAATAGCAGGGGAGGGCATGGAAGGTAACAGGGAAATTGCAGGGTAAAATGTAAATGATATACACAGAATCAGTTGCTATATTGTCTAATCCAGGGGGCTGTGACCCCTGCAAACCCCCAACCCCCGCCTAGGAAAACAAAGAATGCTCCATGTATTCATGACAGGCGCGAGCCGTGTTGCTAAGTCTGTCTAACGCTCTCTCCTGCTGTGAATGTGGAGGATTCTTTGACCCTATGGGGTGTTACAGGGGTTTGGGGGGTTCTCACACAATAATATCTATATATTTGGAAACTAGACAGTGAGAGGAATCCAACAATACCAAAATCATCATGATCCATTATGTGGACATATTCCAAACAGTTATCAATAACATACAAAGACTTTGTGACCTGTCAGCCTATAAACCTAACAGTGTTAAATTGGGCGCTCCTGCATGTCAGTCATATGCTTTCTTCTGCATGGAGGACTCAGTATTATTGGAAATGCAACCCCACACCTAATTTAAAGAATCTGAGCTTACCATGTAGTAGAACACATTATTTTATGAAGGTTTTCATCTGTACCATTTTCTGCGCAAATTGATAACAATGGTTATAAAGGGTATAAAATCCACAATTTCCGAGTGCCGCAATAACCTTCCACCTCCAGTGCTGTGACAAAATGACAAATAATCATAGAGCGATGGGTAATTGGACAGATTTGTAGCGCATGACGTATGCGAAGGAAATCAAATGAGCCAATTAGATTCGTGCGTGAACGTGACATGAACAAAGACTCTCAATAGAACCAATCAGATATGGAATAGATCATCATGTGTGACAATCGAAGCTGGGCCTGGGAGAAGCCTTTTGAAATTCAAATCAGTTCTATCATGGCTTGACATTGTGTAGATTGTGAGAACAATTATTACGATTTCATCGCAAAATATCAACAAAATAACAAAGCAAGCATACTAAATCTATGAGGTCACGGTGTACTGCCAGCTGAAGTACAATGCCCGCACTGTGAGACATCATGTCACAACAAAAATGACAGACACCACTGGGTTTGTGGTGCAAGGAAAAGGATTAAAAAAACAAAACAAAAAACAATTGTGTAACTTTACTGTAAGTGATCGCAATTCCCACCAACAACGGCCTGGAATACCCAGCCTATCCCTGTGACCCGCAGCCCGGCCCTATCTGGTGTTAAGGCTGAAGGTAAGATGTGGTTCAAACTGTTCCTAGATCCTGATTCTCTCCTGCCAGAACATACGCAGTAAAGATTTTGTAGACCAGGCAGGGGTGGGAGGGCAGCAGCCCCCCTGAAAGAGGATATAAGGTGGCAAAGCCCCCTATAACTACTGAAAAAACGTCAGTTACTTAGTTTGCCCATGCTCTATCCTGCTGGAACATACGAGGCGAAGATTTTGTAGACCTGGCCGCCCCGGCACACCCCCTAAAAGGGGATTTAAGAAGGCATGGGATGTTGCAGAGGGCACAGCCCTGCAATATCCCCAGTACCTTCCCATGCTGTCAGGGCCAAAATTGACGCTAATGGGGGGCCCACACAATAATTTGAAATATATCTGGAAACTAGAGAGTGAGAGGAATCCATCGATACCAAAATCGTCGTGATCCGTTGGGCGAAACTATTCTGTAAAATTACCGAAATAGCAATATCTGTTCTGGAATTTTTCTTCGGAAAATTCCAATATTTCTTGATTTTCCACAAAGCGTATCGCAAATTGCAATGATATTAGCAAAGCAAATACTTCAGTATAAAAGGGAGAAAATGGGATCGTTTAGTTCAATAACACTACATGTAACACGTAATAATTACTTACAAATTGTAGTTTCTGTATTTTTGCGAGAGAATTGTTTTGTTCCAATATTATTCTAGAATTTGAAGTCTACCGTCATACATAAACAAAGAACAAAATATTAGTTCTCTTAAAAATATCCAAGAAAAAGTATCAGCAATATGAATTACAATCAGAGTTATTTCCTTTACTTTCATTTATTATTTTCTCAATCTGGGGAGTCCAGGATTCTCTCTGTCATCTTTCTTGCTCTCTCTCTCATCTCTCGCTTCTCTTCTCTCTCTCTCTCTTTCTCTCTCTCTCTCTCTCTCTCTCTCTCTCTCTCTCTTCTCTCTCTCTCTCTCTCTCTCTCTCTCTCTCTCTCTCTCTCTCTCTCTCCTCTCTCTCTCTCTCTCTCTCTCATCTTTCTCGCTCTCTCTCTCTCTCATCTTTCTCGTCTCTCTCTCTCTCATCTTTCTCGCTCTCTTTCTTTTCTCGTTCTCTCTCTCTCTCTCTTATCTTTCTCGTTCTCT